AGTTGAAGTCTTGAGACAGTCGCCGTTGAAGAGAGTTGGAACCCAGCATTCGCTTAGAGATAGTTGAACAGCAATTGAGATACTGGAGTGTATAAGATTGTGATTGTATTACTGAGAACTGTATAAGCGTCGGGTCGGTCTGGAAGATGTGGAGTAGGAAAAATCTACTTCCCCTGCCGGGAATCAACCACCGACTGTCCACGCAGTATCCCTTCTCTTGACCGACTGAATTATAGCAAAAAATAATTGTAAAATGGAGTATGCGTATTTTTCAAATATATTCTCTGCTAATCTTGGTGTCTGACGGACTTCATTGCTGAAAAACTGATCGTACCAATATTATTAATTATATCACATTGGATAACATTAAAATGGATCTTAGAGAGATATGATAGGGTGGTATGGACTGGATTGGTTTGGTTAAGGATAGGGACTAGTGGAGGGCTCTTGTCAACACGGTAATGAACGTTTGGGTTCCATAAAATATTGGAAAATTCTTTAGTAGCTGTGCAAATGACGGTTTCTCAAGAAGGGCTCATCTCCATGGAGTTAGATAATTACACCCCGTAGCAATTAAGATAGAAGCAGACTTGAAGAATCCTGTTCAGCTCTACATAGCTATCACTACACAGATATGATCTAATTTTAGAGAAACATAACGCTAAGAACATTTTAACGAACATGTGTGACCTCTTGACTAGCTCGCACATGGCCTAAGCAATGTTAATACAGGATACGGCTGTTGGTCGACCGGGTGAGGAGGGGGATGGGTGTGTAAGAGCCAGCGAGGTCACACAAACCAGCCATGCGATGAATGGCTTAACCGGCTCTGGCTCAGATTTCTCTGTGTTGGCTCTGTGCTCAGAAAGTCTGCAGATCGATTCCTGAATGTGATTATAGTAAGGGTAAAGTTGAGGCCGCGCCATAGCTCAAGCGGTTAGACGCTGGCTTCCCACCGCGGCGGTGCGGGTTCGATCCCGGGTCTGGTCAAGTGGGATTTGTGCTGAGGCAGGTTTTCTCAGAATACTTCGGTTTCCCCTGTCTATTGCTATACCAATTGCTCCACAATCACCCTCACCTATCAACTAGGGCTGGTACAATAGACCAGAAGTGGCCGCAGCACAAGAGACTTAGTCCAATCCCACTAGCAATAAACAAAAGGAAAGGTGTCCTTGTGCTTTACTAATTAAGCATTACGCCATGAAGGCGTATGGGGGAGTGGATATATACACATTTTCTTGATCTCGGCACTAGTTGGAGGTGAGTGGTGAGCTTCACGCCCCGGCCGCTTTACTCCCAGGGAAATAGACACCGGTACCCATTGGATAGGAGGTTCAGTGAACCCAGGGCCGGTCTGGACGACGTGGAGAAAAGAAAATTCTTGACCCTCCCGGGGCTCGAACTCCGACCCTTCGGTCGTCCATGCTCGTAGCTAGTCGCTATCCCGGGTCACTGAATGTGACTACAGTAAACCCTCGTTATAACGGACCCGGATATAACGGACACAATCTGAGAAATTGCTGTAAGAAGGATTTGTAGTTAGAATGGTTCTAGATGTTTCATTCTGGTCATGTTGCGCTATGCCTTTGTGTCTAACGACGTGTTTCATTTATGTTTGTTAAGCAGGTCGCTTTCGTTTCTCCTGGTGACGCATCCGCTCTGCTTGGTTCTGCGTGTTTTGAGAAAGGCAGAAAAAATCAAAATATTAATTAAAGAGTATAACATCTGAACATGGGGTCCTCACGGCGATCAGTATCATATTGTGGAGTTACGGATTATGATACTGTGTAATCTGGTGGACAGATGACATCGTTACCAAGGAACATACTGCCTCCATCTTCAGGGAAGCAGTACCATAACCCAGACTACCAAAATATAATAATTTGTAGCCATGTTCCCGCCGTATTGCTTGTATGCTTATCCTCAAATTGCCGGTCACAGTGGCCGCGCGGACTAAGGCATGAACTTCGCCCGCTCGAACACTGGGATCGTGGGTTCGAATCTCACTCAGGACATGGATGTTTTTTTCTGCGTTTATTCTGTGTTTGTGTGTAGGTAGCGGTCTTGCGTTGGGCTGATCCCCCATCCAAGGAGTCCTACCGACTATCTAAGATTAAGGAACTTAAGTGAAACGAAGTGTTTCAAGGATACCCTATGCTCCGTCTGGGAGCAACAGGGATGGATGGATGGATGGATGGATAGATAGATAGATAATCCTCAAATTACCGTAGCTAGAAGATAAAAGTACAAATTGATTGAACGCTGGGTGCAAGATCATTTACAGTGAAACCTAAACGCAACAGAACTGCCTTCAGCTCTACATTCCCAATTTTACATGCACTCATATGCGCGTGCGCACGCGCACATGATGCTCACATTAGACAAGTTTTGAATGCAACGTCTGAATTAACTACGAGTATTACGTTCACTTCCGCACTGAACCGCCGAATTCTACAACTATTCATTTTCCACCCACACTCAAGGGCCCCCCCTTCCTCAGTAATTGCTATTAATCTTTTAAAGAGCTTATCAAGAACAGATAACATGTTTTACTTTCATTTTGTGTACTTAAATGAGTCCAATGTCCAGTTTTACTTCCAGCATTTGAGCGGCAAAACAGATCAGAAAAAGAAATAGCAGTAAATAAAATATATTTGCCCCAAAACACTTCACGCCTCTTGCCGGAAGGGGAATCTTCTCACAGATTAAAGAACGTGGGTACTGAACATTACGGTCTTCTGAGTTTTAACGCCGAGTAGTTCGGGAAACCCCCGACGTTTCGGAGGAACAAATCGTAGGTCGGACTAATCTATATAGGGTCTGAGGACGGAGGCAGAGACTAGTCTCCTAAATGTGGTAAGGTAAATTTGTCCCTGTACTTAACCAATTGAGCACTACGCAATGAAGGCGTATGGGAGAGTGGATGTATAGCCCCGGCCGCTTTACCCCCGGTACCCACTGGATAGGAGGTTGGGTGAACCCCAGAGCCGGTCTGGACGACATGGAGAAGAGAGAATTCCGTGATTTCAATTAGAAATTATGACGATCAGTAATGTCCACAAAACTGGTCATTGTATTGAACTTTTAGATGTTATGTCTATAAACAAAAAGCGAAATATTGTGTGCCTTCGAATGTTTGTCAGCATCTGGTAGTTAAGTAAATCATGACATCATCAGTAGAAAATTAATACATTCGACGAGACTCAACATCGCCACGCCGGATATCTTCCTGCGCACAGAGGACATTTTTTTCACAAGACTGCTTACAAAATATATGGCGTACACGATATCGCGTATGCTGCGGATCTGAGATAGCGATTCGCTACGGGGTTCGGTTCCCGACAGAGTCAAGAGATTTCTCTCTACTCCACAGCGTCCAGACCGGCTCTGGGTTTCATCCTGCATCCTATTGATAGGATACTTGGAGCTCTTTCTCCGTAGGGTAAAGAGGCCGAGGCCTGAAGCTGACCACTCACCTCCATCTAGTGCCGAAGTAAAGATTGTTGGCGCTATGCCTCTAGCCCATACATCTTCATGTCGTGGTGTTTAAATAATTAAGCTCAGTGACAACTTTACGCTGAGTTGCAAAATGAGTTGTCTCTCAATCCAAGTGACTGCTTATGCAGCGAGAAACTGAACAACACATCCAAAAGAACGTGTTTCTAAGCAACCACACCGTTCTGTTTACAAGCCAGAAAGTTCTGTGCCCTCAGGACCTAGAAGATCGCAATCGACTACGGGCAAATAAGTTTCGAGACTTATCTTAAGAGCTGCAGGTATTAACAACCTAGATTTTTTCTAAGTAATATTCCTCCAATACTTTACAATGTTCTCAGCGCTTCGGCCGTTGTTCAAAACAGTTTTTAAAATCCTGAACAGGAATGTCTGTACGAATGTTTCTCGTAGGTGATTTAATATCCTCAACATCAGAGTAACGCTTTGCTTTCGGCACGCTCACTGAGTTTTGGAAACTACCAGGAGTCAGCTGGAGCCAAGTCAGGAGAGTACGGAGTATGATCCATGGCAGATGTGACATTCGGGCGAAGAATGTGCCGGCACGTTATTAAGTGACTACACTGCCGTTGTAGCGGAAGCTACTAATAATAGGGCATAACCTGCTGTACTGAGCCTCGACTGACAGAGGCCCTTTATATATTTAATACATTCATTATCATGTTTAACATGTAAAATCTAAATATCCTTTACATTATGATAAATGACTTACTACTACAGACAATGACTCTGACAAAGTACAGACCCTTCCTCTCGTCAGAGAGGGCGCCCCACTATAACAAGACCTAAACTGTCGCCCAGTAATAAATATTTGGTCATGAGCCCCAGATTGGGCTCGACACCAAGACTGACTGACTGACTGACTGACTGACTGTCAGTCAGTCGCAATGTGACTTTGAATTTGACTCAAAGTAATTCTAACTCTGAGTGAAGTAAATTGAGTTAGTTGGCTGGTGAGTGACTGATTTAGTGAGTTAGAGAACTGCTGAGGTTTAGTCGTTGTGAGATGTTCCTGTGAAAATCTGGTAGCAGATGTCAGGGGAATTTTGGGAAACCAGAGGAAGGGTAGCGTCCGCTATTGGAAGCCGCTACCAAGCAACGGATAGTGAATACTGCGATGACTTTATGAGTGCTGTAGTTACAGTGATTGCTGGAATGTGTAATTCACTGAGACTGTCGTGGTTATTTGTACTTACGAATGTCCAATAAATACAGTTACCCATCCAAACCCCGTGTCTAGTCACACTTATCACGTGATAATATATTAACAGTGAAGAGATGACTTGTTACTAACTAACGAAGTGTCTCACTTCACCTACCCACTTCTATTCCGTGGATCACCCTGCTGTCCAATTCAGGTCAGGCGCCCTGAGACCTCACGCTTACCTACTCGTTACCTGGCGATATCTAAACCTAACTTCCAGTCCTGAAGGTTACTGCATTCCATTAAGGGCTCTAAGTAGAAGTTCAAAAAGTACAATACTCACTCAATTGCGTGCTGATGCACTGGCTTCCAGACATTTCTCCAGCTCTCGGATGATTCCCGCTCTTCGACAGCGTCACAATGGCTGGTCATTACGACTACACTGAAACAATAAAAAAGATTTTGTGAAAGGTTTCGATCAAAACCAAATCGTCAAGTAACTCACTGTTCAACGACATATATTAGTCAGGCAACACTCGCAAGAGGGGAGGCACGCGGTAGCGCAGTAACGTTGAGGCACTATGCTACAAGCCGGAAAGTCGCGGGATCGAATTCCGATGAGGTGGATTTTTTTNTTAAACAATGCGAATTTTCAATATATTTTCTTCTTACCATCCATCCATTACTGTGATTTCTTATGTATATGCGTATACGAGTACACACATATTTGCATAGAGCATACATACGTACATTTCGTTTGTCACATTCTATTCTGTCATACTGATAACGTTTCTTTTGAGATAAAGTTAAAGAAATATATGAAGTATGCCCTTTAGAGATAATAATAAATTTGTAAGCATATTCTTATCTGTCTTTCGCGTTTCTCCACGAAAAGAAATTTGTATTTTAGAGCTAATTTTACAGTGATTTTTATTCTGTATTTCCAGGACCATAAACATTTCTCGATAAAGATTAATTTATATTTTGAAGAAAGCAGTCTTCTGGGATTTGGCACCGCGTATATGTGGTGTTAACCGACGTTTCGGAGGAACGTATCGCCTCCATCTTCAGGGAATTCTTATATTTTTCTTCTACCCTGAAGATGGAGGCGATACGTTCCTCCGAAACGTCGGTTAACACCACATATACGCGGTGCCAAATCCCAGAAGACTGCTTTCTTCAAAATATAAATTAATCTTTATCGAGAAATGTTTATGGTCCTGGAAATACAGAATAAAAATCACTGTAAAATTAGCTCTAAAATACAAATTTCTTTTCGTGGAGAAACGCGAAAGACAGATAAGAATATGCTTACAAATTTATTATTATCTCTAAAGGGCATACTTCATATATTTCTTTAACTTTATCTCAAAAGAAACGTTATCAGTATGACAGAATAGAATGTGACAAACGAAATGTACGTATGTATGCTCTATGCAAATATGTGTGTACTCGTATACGCATATACATAAGAAATCACAGTAATGGATGGATGGTAAGAAGAAAATATATTGAAAATTCGCATTGTTTAATAACCACAGGTGACATTTACATAATAAAAAACTCAATGATTTTAGTCCGCAAGTGAACTATACCGACCGAGCGACCGCTGCTTGTTGGCGAAGTTAGTGCCAACTTTTGCGGACAGAAGTTGGTCAGCGCAACGGATCCCCACGGCCGTTAATTTCCGTTTTCTAGACCGGAGCCGCTATTTCCTTGAAATAACTCCTCAATTATCATCACAAGGCTGAGTGGACCCCGTTCCAGACCCACTACTTCTTAGAGAAAATCTGGTAGCGATGGGAATTGAACCCGGACCTCTGGATCTGTAGCCAGGAACGTTGACCACTAGACCACAGAGGCCGTCAACTAATGCAAGTTTTAAAGAAGATTAATTATGAATTAATTATGAACATATTTCCGATAAACAATACACAACAAGAAAACAACACAAACTATTCTCATGCGATTTGTGTAGAAGACATTAAAACATCTGCGCACATAACATAATTAAGCAAAGCGTTATCATGGTAAGCAACAGCGGGTGAGGAAGTGGTCTATGTGAAAGCGTCTGCAAGGGAATGTAGCACGCATGTGGGGAGAAGAGGAATGTAAGTAGGGTTTTGGTGGGAAAGCCAGGAGAGACCACTAGGAAGACCTAGATATATATGAGGTAAAGTTGTCCGTGTGCTTGGCTTAATTACTACGCCATAAAGGCGTATGGGGGAGAGGATGTATAGATCCATATTTTCTTGACCTCGGTACCAGTTGGAGGTAAGTGGTCAGCTTCACGACCCTGCCGCTTTACCCCCAAGAAGAGAACCCCCGGTACCCTTTGCATAGGAGGCTGGGTGGGTCCCAGTACCGGTCTGGACTACATGGAGAAAAGAAAATTCTTGACCCTACCGGGACTCGAACTGCGATCCCTCGGTAGTCCAGCCTGTAGCCAGTCGCTATACCGACTGCACTATCCCTGCTCAAGATGTATATGAGGATAACATTAAAATGGACCGTAGCGAAATAGGATCGGTTGGTATGGACTGGATTAACCTGGCTCAGGATAGAAACCAGTGATAGGTTCTTGTGAACATGGCAATGAACCTTTGGGTTGCATAAGAACTGGGAAAAATCTTATGCGGTTGAGAAACTGGCGGCTTTTCAAGAAAGACTAAGCTCCATGGAGTTAGTTATACTCCATTCGCTGAGACGAGAGAGTCCTCGTAAACAAAGCAAGCCCCGAGTCGCCACAGCTGACAGCAAGGAGTGGACAATGCGTGCAGTTACTCAGTTTACTCACTGCATTCGGACGCACGTTAACCTGCATTCAGACTGAAGAGTGAACTTTGGACGTCCTTGCAATGATACACGCATCACGTGATCGCTGCATGTTTTCATTCAAAGAGCCAAGGAGATACCGCGTGCATTTGTTTACGAGGACTCTCTCGTCTCCGCGAATGGACTGTGGTTGAATGTCTGTATAAGGAGTGGGCCTTCTTGGCCCTTAGTCTGCAATGGAAAGATACTACGAAATGTTAGAAGAAGTTTCACTTAGTGGGGGGTGGAGTCCAACTGGGTCCACTCGGCACGGCGCCCACTGATTGGCCTATTGTACCTACCCCGGGTGATTATGATGATGGAGAATTTGGTGGAATGAAGATTGTCACGGAAAACCGAAGTACTCGGAGAAAACCCGCCCCAACGCCACTTTGTCCACCACAAATCCCACATGACCAGACCCGGGCTCGAATCCGGGCCGACGCTTTGGGAAGCCAGCGACTAACCGTTTGAGCTATGACGCGGCCTAGAAGTTTGTTTTGTATACAGATTAAAATGAAGTTGATGTAGTTGCAGAGCTTCGACAAGATAATAAGTTCGTTTAAAATCTAAATAAATTAATATTTCTTGAAGTAAGACAACATAAACTTATGTTGGAGTTGAGGGTCCCACAGTGGTCACTACGAAGATTTCGGTCGTGTGGGTTCTGGCGCCGTGTTTTTCTGAGAAACTACGCGGCATTTCTTTCCCGAATACAAAGATTCGCTCGTCTCAACACAGGTGACACCTCAAGGTCATGATGGAATAGGGTGGGGTATGGATTATGTACATGTTGCATACTGACACGTTGGGCCTTATATTCTTTCGTAATAGGTCAATGATTATGGGTTTCTTGGATGTGGCGCCGTCTATTCTGGTAGATACCAACATTTCGCATTAACCTGCTACTTCAATTTTCGGACTTTCTTCTACAAGACTCTACTGTGGCATATCAGAAAACGACGGTAGCATTAATATCCACCGTCGTGAGAACTTAAATTTCATCTCATTTTTTTTTGTAGAATCATAATAATCCTCCACGCTTTAAAAAATTCGAAGACGTATCGTGTGTTCAGTTCAAAAAAAATATTTATCAGTGAAGCGGAACTTACATAGTGGCAGAACATGAAATGTCCTAAGTTACTTTGTAATTTGTTATGTAAACACAATTATGCAATCGGAATTATTTTTTGACAAGACAATGACTGCATTGCGCCGGCTTATTTTTATGCGTTGGGATCTTGATTCACTACTGTCTCACTCACTGAACATTACACTCTGAGGAGACTAACACATGGACTGTTTTGGGTCTCTTCAACCTTCAGACGCCGACTGACGCCTGAATCAGCGTCCAGGAATCCTGAAACCCTCGGTGACCTTATGCCCTTCCCGGCCGGGGTTCAATTCCCGTCAGTACAAGAATTTTCTCTTCTCCACAGAGTCCAGACCGACTCTGGAATCCACCCAGCCTTCATATCCACTGAGTACCGGAGGTTCCTTCCCCAGGAGTTAAGCGGCAGGGGCGTGAAGCTGAACACTCACCTCCATCTAGAGCAGTAAAACTCCGTGGCCTGTAGTCCGCAAGCGAACTATACCGACCGAGCGACCGCTGCTTGTCGACAAAGTTAGTACCAACTTTTGCTGATGGACGGTGTCACGTGGTCACCTGAACGGATCCCCACGGCCGTTAATCTCGGTTTTCTAGACCGGAGCCGCTATTTCCGTGAAATAGTTCCTCAATTATGATCACGAGGCTGTGTGCACCTCGTTCCAGACCCAGTACTTCTCAGAAAATCTGGTAGCCCCGGGAATCTCTGGATCTGTAGGCAGGAACTCTGACCACTAGACCACTGAGGCGGTCCCTTTATGGCACAGTGCTTAACTAATTAACCACAAGGAAAACTTTACTTTTACTTGTCCAGCAGAGTCACCAGAGTCAGTTTAAATATGACAATTCTGATTTGAGAAGTACAAAGTTTTCTTTGTCACCAATGCGCTTCTTGCCTACTAATTTACTGAAAATTGAGCATGAAGTTCAATGTCTTGCTCATTTCCTGCGAAACCTGTAAAGACAGGGCGTGCAACGGAAGCCAAGAGGTTTCTTATGATGGCTTGCATAATGAAAACTACAAAGCAATTGGATTCATTATAAGTTTCTGAAACGCAAACAACGAGATTTCATTATGGTAAACATTTATTTGTCAGAGTCAGATTAAGAGTTACTTTACGACTGGCGATTTACCACCAATCAGTTCGTCTTGGTGAAAAGCCCCTTGAGACTCATAACAATCAATTTTTTTTAACTTAACATTTGCGATCATAGCTCTTATGCTGTATAACATCCTATCTGACGAGATAATGCATCTGTCGTTTATATTGCTGGTGGTCCTCGTCAGCGCAGTCATTCTAAGGTCCTAGTCCTGCGGGACTCACAACCGTATCTTATTGTCTCAGATTGAAGACTCCCCGTAACCTGGAGGGTCAGATCCCAGTATGTACGAGGGGGTAACCAAAAGAAACCGAACTTCTTTTTTAAACTTATTTATTCAAATTTTAAGCACAAACCTTCAATCCCCTTCATAGTACTCTCCACTTACACTAATACACTTGTCTAGTCTTTTATTCCAT